TTTTTTTTTTTCCTGTTTCATAATTAAGGATTTATAGTGAAGATAGGTTGGGGTCAGGATAATTGATAAACATCATTAACCTTTATAAATCAGTTTTTATGTATTTGTGATAAATCCCTTATATGGATACTGGGATAATCTTCTGAGGGAGTGCTTTGATCATCTTATCTCCATACCCGAGAGTGTAAGGAGCCAGGCATACCAGTAGGTGCCTGTAATCCTAGCATTTGGGAGGCCAGCGCAGATTACATAGAGAGTTCAAGGGCAGCTTGGATTGTATAATGATACCTTGCCTCAAAAAAAAAAAAGGGAATCTAAATACAATTGAACATTTAAGGCATCCCTTCAGCTTGCCTTCCATCTTAAACTACTTCATGAAATCTCCTACTTGTAAAATGAGTCATAGTGGGTGAAAAGAATACTGAGCTCATTCAATTTGCCTTTACAGTTTTCAGTAGTATCCAGTGTTTTATTGTTAATCTTTTCTAAAAAATCCTTCATCTGTGGTATCGTAGTAGATTTACACACTACCCATGCTTTGGTCATTTCTTTTCCTTTTGAGTCTTAATGAGAGCTGTTATTTTCATTTTTAAATCCTACATTATTTTTCTTTATTAACCTTATGGCTACCTGACCATCCATTTAATCTGACGAGACACACCCCCTCACACTGGATGGTACACGTCATGAAGGCAGGTTGCTATGTGGCATGTTTGCTTCTGTCCTCAGTTCTTAGAATAGTGCCTGACTTGTAATGGTCTTTGGATATTATTATATCAAATGAATCCTCATGAAAACTTAGCTTTTTTGGCATATAACTTACCTCTTCCTCTACAATTTTTCATTTCATATAAATGTAATAATAGCGGTGTTCCAAATTGTCTTGATTTTTTTGGCTAGTGGTTAATATAGCTAAAATATTAACTGGTTTACTGAGGAACTGAGGAATGATGATATTGATTTCATAATTGAGTATTTTAATAATTTAAAATGTTTCTCTTTGATTTACATAACATTTTTCTCATGTTTTGATTTTCAATAATTCTTTGCCAATCCCTTGGATTGATGTTGGTCATTTAATGTAAGGTGTAACCAAAATCCTTTTTAAAATTACTTACCTTTTACTTATTCTGTCATTGTTTCATTCCCTTTTTCTCATTTGGATCCCAATGTAATTGAAGGCAGAGGTCATTTCTTTTGTACATTGTAAAATTAAACGTAGTTTAAATGAAAAATGAAATCCCGTCAAAATACAATCTTTTAATCAAAGCCAAGTTGTAGAACTATTGCCAAAAATCCTTCCTTGTTTCTTGAAGCTTTTTTTGTGGGGGAACCATTGCTCACCTCGGGCATAACATAGAGCTCCTGGTCTGTTGCCTGTTATTAAAGCAATAATCTTTTTAGAGCACCCTGTTTCTTACAGGTATTTTCTTGTTGCCATTTGGTAAGACATTCCAAGCAGTACATGGTATCTTCTACAGCATATCTCCGTTATTCTGAATGCTTCATTAGTGCTTGCCAGTGAGAAAGCAGCTAATACCTTCCAGAAGGCTGTCAGATAAGACTTTGTTCTACTGGGGAATGGTCTTCATTATAGCTTTAATTTAGCAGGCTATACTAGTTTTAAAATTATTCTCTCTCTCTCTCTCTCTCCTCTCTCTCTCTCTCTCTCTCTATATATATATATATATATGTATATATATATATATACACACACACACACACACACACATATGTATGTCCTCTTTTCATTTTTTTTCTTGTCATAAGAGTTGAACTAGAGGCGTGACACATGCTAAGCGTAGTAAGCTCTGTCACTGAGCTGTATCTCCAGCTCTCTCCTACCTCCCCTTTTTTGGTGGCAGCTCATCATTCCTTTTTTAAAAACATACTTTCATATATGTGTTAATTGCTTAAAGAGAAAGACTATATTATGCTCTTATAGGCATTTTAAAAAATTTGCTCTACATTAAATGCCTCTTCCCAGATGCTTGACTACATGGAAAATGCTACAGCCTTGTATTTTTTTCTCTCCTTTCCTTCTTCACAGTCTTAGTATTTGTTTGCTTGTTAGAGGTTGTTAATGTGTCTGGATTAACCTAGGGAGAACGGTGACTATTTTGCTTTTTATTGGTCCTTCGGATAAATTTTACTCATGTTTATATAAATTGGAATATCCATTTCTGACCAATAGTATGTGAACATTTGCAATATGCAGCTGTTATGTTACTAAGTATGAAGACAGTTAACCTGATTAGTTTGTTTTCTTTTTTTTTTTTCTTTTAAAGAGTGAAAGAAGGATAACATAATAATAGGGGGGACTTAGCAAATTACAGACAAAATGGTAGGAAATTATCAATGGTTATCGTTTTACATATTATTATCTACAAAATAGTTTCTCAGGAAAACAAATAGACAAATA